CTTATAAAGCTCTTTTTAAAGATATGAACTAAAAAAAGAGTTAATTTTAAATAAAAATCTACTAAGTTTGAGCTTTACTTAAAGCCTTTTACGAAAGCTTTATTCCAACTGAAACATTTCTTTATCCCAACTAAAACATTTCGTTTGCTTAAAGTCGATAAAAGACAACTATCATGCTTTCAATTGTAAGCACAAGCTGTAGTAGAGCTTTTTCAGATATCTTTGAAAGCTCAAGCTGCAAAGGTATCAATTTGTTAGAACAAGCTTTAGCTGTTGCAGTCGCTCAAGCTTTTCCAGCTTGATTGAAATGCACGCTCAAGTGCATAAAGAAAACTACCAAGTTCAAGTCTTTTATATAAAGTATTTTGAAAAAGTTTAAGCTTTTCTAAGCGATTTGTGTAGCAAGATCGTCTGTTAAAAGACGCTGCTCTTGGTGGTAATCGAACTCACTAGTTTGAATGGAGGATGTATCTACCAGGCTAATATAGGGCCTGTTGTGTGCTGCTCTACCAGAGTCCTTGGTGGTAATCGAACTCACTAGAGATAGAGATAAAGCTATATCAAGCTATATCAACTACATCGATCGCAAGATCAAGCTTTAGTAGAGCTTCATCATCTGGAACTCTATCTAGTTTAGAAGCTTAAGCTTTATTAAAGCATTTATCGCAATATCTCATTCTAGCAAAGCTTTTTTATATCAAACAAGTTCAGCTAGATAAAGCTTTTAAAGAATTTGACTTTCAGTTTCAAGTTCTAGTAGAGCTTTATTATCTTAAACTCTATCAAGTTTAGCTGTATTAAGCTATTAAAGAATTCGACTTTCAGTTTAAACTTAACCTAAAGCATTTAGCGAAAGTTTAGGAGTTAATATTCTTAAAACTTCTAAAGCTATTAAAGAATTCGACTTTCAGTTTAAACTTAACCTAAAGCATTTAGCGAAAGTTTAGGAGCTAATGTTCTTAAAACTTCCAAAGCTTATTTAAGAGCTGATTACGAATGTATGTTTAAGATCAACTAGAATGTCTCTCCATAGTTTTAAGACTGTCAGATACAATTATCGATAAGTAAAGTATAAAACTTTGAATTCTTTTAAAAGTTCAAGCTTAGATTTAATACAAGCTTATAAAAGCTTTACTTAAGATATTAACTGAAAGTTTAAGCTTCAACATAGACATCTCTCGCAAGATCATGTTCTGGTAGAGGCTTCATTATGTAAAACTCTGTCAAGTTCAGCCAGATCAAGTAACTTAAATGAAATCTACTTTTAGTTAAAACTTGAAACATAAAGAAGTACTTTCCTTAAAGCTTCTCAAGAAGTTTAAACGGTACTTTCTTTAAAACTTCTTAAGAGTTGTTGTTGTTGTAACAGATTGGCTGTGACAGGACGTTCTTCCCTGGTGAAAAAAAACTTCTGGTTGATACAGCAGTTGCTAAGTTGACAATCTTTGGCCGATTGAGAATCGGGAGCGGAGATTCAATTGCCGTGGGAACGACTTCAAAAGAGTTATTGTCGCTAGATTAAATTCTGCTGATTTGAAACTTTCTAGAGAGCTAACAAAATTAAGACAATAACGATATGATTCCATCGTTCTTAATAACTACCAAAGTTCCAAACTGTCTCTCAGAACAAATAAGTTTTAATAAAATACTGATTCTTTACAACTTTTGACTCTTTAAAACTCTCCAATCCTTAAAGATTTCTTTTCACAACTCTATGGAAGTCCCAGTTATTGGCTGATCGAAAAACTATATCATTCTAGTCTTAAACAATAGATATAACTTTCATAAGTGATTCAAAGGAACTTATTTTGATGAAAAAATAAGAGAAGCTTTAAGAACAACTAAATCAAACTTTAAAAATAACTTCTAAACATGTTGCTAAAATGAAGTATCTAATGTTTTTTAAAAAGATGTTCAGTTTTTTTATTGATTTTTTTTTTTAAATTTTTTCATTGTTTGTTAATTTTAACATTCAAGTCAGGTATTGTTTTAATAGGTTATTAAGTTTGGAATATATATATATAGTTTATATTCCAAACTAAATTTGTAGTCATCATTTTAATTAAAATTACATGTTGTGTTAATTTAGTAGTTTTGTTGTTGTTGTTGTAGTTGCTCAACATTAATTCATATACTTCATCATACTTTTATAAAGTTAAGAGATCAAAATTTATTTGTTGAAAACATTTGTTTTTATCTGTTTTTGTTTTATAAGGATTTTTCTTTTTATTTTCAAATTTGTTTCTTTGTTGTTGTTGTTGTTAAAAAAAAAATAATGTTAATAATATAATAATTATGCAAATATATCTTAATAATAATTAAAAAAATATCTGGGGGGCTGGTTGCATTATTTTTGTTTTGTTGTATTATTAATATTATTTGTTGTTGTTGTTGTTTTGCTGTTGTTTTTGCTTAGTATCACATTGGCATGAAATTCATCACTCTTTTTTTTTTTTTGTTTTTGGGTTACAAAGAGTTTTAAAACAAACTACAGGTTACACTTTTGCTTATAAAACTCTTTAAATTATTGTTTAACCATGGGTTCTACAAAACGCATAACTATAACCTTTTAAATTTGATTTTAAGGGTTCTGGCAGGGTAGAGGGTTGTTGTGTTTTGTTGTTATTTAAATAAATTATAACAATGAAACATTATTAGTTCATTGCTAAATTTAAATTTTTTTTTAACGAGAAAACCTTTCAAGGAAAACTTTCGTGCAAAGTTTGCAAAGTTTTTTAATCTTCTACTCTTCTACTGTGTAGGCCTTTAGAAGGCGCTTCATCAGCTTTTTTTGAAAAAAATTGTCCAAGAGTTTTGTTTTTTGTTTAACTTTTATCTACACACACATTCAACACATGATTTCCTCGCTTAAGATTTCATTTAGCAAACGATTTAGACTGTCGAGACCGGTGAGGAAGCCATTATCGGGTCCATGATGTATGGTGGTTGGTGGCGAGGGAAATAAACCGGAACCATTGCGTGGCACAAAGGCTGTATGGGCAAAATCTATGAGTCTTACATCCACCAAACAGTGCATGTCATCGCACAACTGTATTTTGGTGTCAATGTCCAAGGATTTGGAGGCATGTTGTAGGAATTTCTTAGATTTGGAAATTTCCTTGATTTCCTGTTGCTGCTGGTGTTGCTGTTGCAATTCAGTGGTGGCTCTATTTACAGGTGTTGCTGTTGCCTTGGCAGATGTCGTTGTAGTTGTGGTTGTAGTTCTTGTTGCAGCTGCTGTTAGTTTAGTTGAGGATGTATCCATGAGTATACCCGAATTTTCTATATTTTGTTTGATTTGTGCTTGTGCTGTTGTTGGTTGTGGCTGCTGCTGTTGTGTTGACATATTTACAGCTGTAGTGGCAGGTATTGTTGGTGTTTTAGCAGGTGAACTCATTATTGAGACGGGAGTTGATGATGACAATGCTGTGGGGGCATTGGTGTTGGACTTTTTAGCTGCTGATGTTAATTTTTTGCCAAAGTCTTTTGTTTCACGTACATCCACCAATTTATCATTACTCTGTGAATGTGAATGATGCTGGTGGTGATGGTGATGATGATGCAACAGATGATGATGATTGTGATCTTCATCGTCGTCATCCTCATCATCATCGTCTTTGCAACGCAAACGCTTAACAGCACCTTTGACCGATTTCAATGACGATGCAGTCGATGAAGTGGGTGATGCTGTTGTTGTGACCGTAGAGGTGTTTAGTTTATTGTGTACCAACGTTTTGGGCGTTAGTGGCGGTGTGGCTATTTTGGCTACAGCTGCCGCAGCGACTGCTGTTTCAAATGCATCTTGTTGTGATTTGTAACGTTTCAACATCACTTCCGTTTGACTTATAATGCTGCTATCATAGTCTGAGGAAGCTTCGTCCGAGCTGTTGTTGCCCGTTTGGCGACCACTGGTAACCGCTTTGATTTGTTCCGATAGACCCGAAAAGTCATCACTACTATTGCTGCTGTAGTTCATCCATGAGTCACCGGAATGCGGCGATGAGGTGGCTATACTGGGCATTGGTGGTTCGGGATCGAGGAATACTGTCTCTTCGGATATGGGAATGAAAGGTGCGGGTGTGGTGGGAGTAGAGGAAGCTGTGGGTCTTGTTAAATCCATAGATTTAAGACCCATTACATTAGAACCGGCTAATGGGGGTGGTGGTGGCATGGATCTACTATCATTATCCATTAACAAAGCATTCGGTTGCTCTTCCTCGGCTTCGGAGGATGAAGATGCCTGGTGTTTAGCAGCTCTTTCTATGTGTTCGCTAAAACCACCACGTTGTGTTTGTTGTCTAAACTTTTCCGGTGAAACAGTGGCTGTTGGTGTAGTGGCATCGACAGACTGAGACTCTGATCTTGCTGTTGCATTATGCAAGTGTCTAATGCGGGTTCTGAGATTCATATCGGCTGTATTTGAATCATTTGAGGCATCAGCATCATAACAACATTGATCACCGCCGGTGCTGCTATTAGTAGCCGAAGCATTGCCACTATCAGCGGCCTGCAAATGTAAATCATCATCGGTGTCATGAGGTTCCAATTCATCGCCACCATCGTGACCATCCTCGTCATGTTCGCGATCATCCTCATCGACAATATCATCATCCTCATCTTCGTCGTCATCGATGCTATTATCTGGATGATAATCAAATGTGGCAGATTTTTTGGTATTCTTAGTGGGTGTGGCTGGTGTCGCCCATTCATCAAAGTCCATAGGATGTTCCATGGGATTATCTTCAAAACCTTCATACACTATAAGCAGGGAGCTAGAATTGTAAATGTTTGACAGATTAGTATTGCAAAAGTCTTTACATTTCACTCTTTAACTTACCAGGAATAAAATCTATAACTGGATTGCTTTTCAATAACACGACGCAATTGCAATAGACGCTGAACTATTTTCTTGATAACACGTGTTCGTAAACGATAACCATTGTAAAAGAAATCATGTAAAGCCTGCTTAAAACCCATTTCATTTAGTTCACGCCCCCAGTATTTGTCACGCTTGGCATACTGATCCAAATGTGCCTGATACGTTTGCATGCCACACAAACGTACTCCCAAAGAGGCCGAAGTGCTGGCAGCACATTTAGCCATTTGCTTAGTACGTTTCTCAGCGGATGCATCGTCACCATGCTGGCGTGTGCCCATTTTCAAATCCAATATACAGGGATTACGAAATTGTGAGGTTATATTCTCCAGCATAAGAAAATCTATTAGTAAGTGGGAGTAACTAATTAGTTTTATTGTTTTTTTAAACTTATAGAGCAAAAACTTACATTGTTTATTGGAATTATCCAATTGTGCTATGCTTTTTATAACATCCGCCGCGTTGCCATTTTTATGAACTTTCATTCTGTAAGAGAAAAATAATTGAGGTTAGTTTTTGCGATTTTTGTTTTGCTAATAAGATATTTTATAAAAACCATTTAAAGTTTTGTCCAAATATGTTTTATTTTGGATTTTTAATATTTTGCGATTTGTTTGGCTAAATGTAGAGCTGTAGGGCGAAAGGGCAGATATGTATGAACCACATTTGTTAGGTAGGTTGGGGGGCCAAATTGTTGTCTAAAATAAGTAGTTATAAGAATTGTTCTTTTTTTTTGGGTAAATTATTATAATACAAATCCTACACCCATAGACCTATATGTTATAAAAACTTTGTATTCAAAATATAATGATTTCCTTAAACTAAATGAGATTTTTTTGTCTTAAAAATTGGCGCCTTGTAATCATCTTTGGGTATTACAAACTGCTGCCTGAAAAGATTTCTTTCCAGAGATAAGGATCTATACTTCTCTATATTTGTTTTATAATATTTCAAATTTGTTTGACATTTATAACCTCAATTCAGTCTCAAGAAATCTTCTAGCTGAAGTATTTGCTATATAACACGCTGTGTAGTTGTTGTTACATCTTAAACTATATAATAACCTATTGAAGGGGTTCTGTATCGATGTCCAGGCCTAAAAATTAAGCTATTTTAATGTGATGCGCCCATAACTCCATTAAACAAAGTGAAGTAGTATTGGCTGAGCTATTGACTATGTATCGAGTATCTGAGGGACTCTGTCTGGGTCCCCATTATACTTTCTGTTACGTAGAATTGTCTATCGTGGAAATGTATTGGCATGGGTTCTATTGAATATCCGTTAGGGATACTTTTATCTTTACTGAGTGTCAGACGGCCATCAAGTCCATGATTGTTATGTTTACCACAACTAAACTTGTCCGCGAATACCGGGTATCTCTAAATGAGATGGCGTGACATTCGTTAGGGGAAACTGGAACGTTCTCGGTAATCGTATTACTGAGGAACTTGCTAAGAAAGTCTCCATGTTGGAAGATTCTGATATTGATCCTTTCTGTATAATCTAATTTTGCTCTTGTAAACTATATATCTCATATGTTTGGTATAATATTGCTCCAGACAACTAAGGGGTCCACACAAGTTGGATTTTCTTGCTTGAGTTGACAACACTTGGTCGAATATTTCGGATCATTCCGGTAGAACCGATATCTTGGGATTGTATTGACTTAGTTTCTATCGAATAGCCAGACGACTATTAAGTCTCAGATCAATATGTTTACCACATCTAAACTGGTCCGGGAATGTCGAACATCACTAAATGAGATGACGAGACTTTCGGCATCCGACATTGGTATGTGTAAAGTATATGGAGACTTTCTCGGTAATCGTATTGTTTCTGATATTATTCCTTTCTGTGGAGTACCCCCTCCTTTTCTCTATCTCAAACGTTTGGTATTATTTTCAGACATTTACTGAGAATAGAGAGTGCCACTTCGGTACTTCCTTGCTATTATGTATGGAGGGGTTAGCTGGGATAAAACTTAAATATATCCTTAACTTTATCAATGAGACGGTAGTAGAGTGTCCTGTGATCACTAGGGTATTGAATGGACCCAAGTCAGCTGATCATGGAGTGGCTAACATTTTAATAGATCATATTCATATCTTAGAACAGATCCAGTGATTCCATTAGTACGGTTGCAAAGACCTTGTGTCCTCTTTCCTGTTTTGGATATGCATCGTATTCAGATAGGTCCGTCCGGTATCCGGGTCACTTTAGATAATATCTGTTATAATTATGAAGTAGATGAAGCCATTACGCATCTTTTATGTACGCATCTTGCTGTCAAAAACTTGTGGTTCCAAATTTTGGCTCAATAATACTTTGATGATCTTGACGATCATTGAAATGTCAGTCTAGAATAGTTATAAACATTGGGTTTGAAACATCTCCTGTGGTTTTCTTCAGGGAACATCACTTATCGTACTATTGTCTATGTCTTATTCTTAATCTATATTGTTCAAATCATACGATTTTCTTAAGGGAACATCATCTTGATATTAATCCTTGTTTTTCCTCGGCTATAACTTAATCTTTACTTTTCCACTTTCTATCGTTCTCAAGTTATTCTTTATCTTATACACCATCTGTTGATCTAAATTTCTCTTATACACATCAGAAAAGTGACCTTTTAGATCAAGTGGTCTATGATGAAGTATTTTTTTCTTGTCTTAGAGTCCCACTAAAGTCTAACCTAACCTTAAATCTCTATTTATTTTGTTTTTCTTAATAAAATCGGGTGTAGGATCTGTTGTAGTTTGTTGATTTTTATAAATCAATATATAATTTTAAATAAAATTTAAATATTACACTAAATAATAACAGGTTTCATACCCTTTAATATAATTTCATTTTTATAACATTCTCTTTCTCTCACAAACACAACCACAAAATATCTAAAAAAATTGAAAATATAACTTTAATAATAAAAAAATGATCTTAACAAGATCTATAAGAAATGATAAATTTTAATGAAAAAAAAAAAAATATCCCTTAAAGGATGTTAAAGAGTTATATACACTTAACTCTCTCAAAAAAAAGTGAAAAACCCACCTTAAAATATCATCTCTTTTACGTTTTGAGGCACTCATCTTACGTTGGGGTTCCTCACGAAAACTGGGCGAATAACGTTTCTCCAATTTACAGCCACCCATTGTTGTTGCTTGCATAACACCTAAAATGAAACAGGCCAAAGGGATTAGTGGATCTTGAGAAGATTTACTAAAGGCAACAATATAGAATTGTTTAAAAATCAGATATATGTTCAAATTCTTAAGGTTTTCTTTTAAATTGTTTAATTTTACAAGAATATAAAACTTTTTTCTTCAGTTTTTGGGGTCTTAAGAAGATCAAAAAAAAAAAAAGTTCTGGTCGTTTTATAATGAAGTGAGTTTTAAAAAAGCAACAAAACAGATAACATGGACTAGACAAACAAACTCAAACACTTTGGGGTTGGGACTGACAAACTTGGTTGGAACACTAAAGGTGAAAGTGAAACTGGTGAAAAACAATAACGAGCTATAGTTACGAATTTATGTATGACGTTTTTTTTTTTTTTAGAAAATGATAGTTTTATTAGTTTGATGAAGTTTGAAAGCCCAAAAAAAGCACAATTACAATTTTAAACAAAGCTTAATTTTTAGAATTTTATAAAATTTCGTTTTAATTTAAAGTTTTTAAAGTTAACTACAAAATTTTGTTATGAAAATTATAATAAAAATTTCATTTTCTAAGACAAATTTTATAGAATTCAAGTAAATAGGCCCTAATTTGTAGAACCAAGTTTCGTAAAGAGAACAAAACAACTCAAAACTTTAGGTCTTAAAAAAAAATTTAAATAAATTTTAACTATACTTAAGTTTAAATATATAATTTTCATATAAAAATAATTATAAATTATAAAGTTTTTTTTTTTCCTATAATAATATTATAAATAAGTATATAGTATAGTAAAAATAATGGAAATATTATACAAACCCGTTATCGGAAACGTTTCATTTAACATCACACTCATATTTATTGTTATATATATATATAGGGATGAGAGCGAGTAAGAGTGATGCGTTTGATTGTTTATCTGAGTGATCAAGAGTAGTAGTAGAGAGTAAGTGAATAATTAAGAATGTTGTTATATCCCTAAGAGAGGGTTTCACAAAATCATATGTCATTCAGTTAGTGTAGAGTCCTCGCTGTTGTTGCTGTAGTATATAGTATATACAGGGCATGTTTTTAACGTAGAGATTAGAAAGTAGAGAAGACTAGAGGTACTTATAACAGAGACGTTGTTGGACGTTGTTGAGCTTTAGACGATTTCTGTATTATATATACAATACAAAATAATAAGAGATATTTGGTTTTTTGTGTAGATTTTTGGTAGAAAAAATTAAATTGTTATAAAAGTATATACAAAAAAATTTACGCTTTTCTTTATTTTTTTTTACTTTTTTTGAGGTTAGTTTCTCAAGAGTATTTCCTTAGGGGGGGGGGGGGGGGGAAAACTTAGGCTCCAGTTTAGAACACATTTACACAGACACACACTTAACTCACTCACTTGTCCTTAGCGCTTCAAAATCGGGCCTTAGATCAAGCTTTCAACTCTGGCGTCTTCTTCTCTTTTCTCTCTCATTGCTCAGCAGCGAGTTTTTCTCAAAATTTATTACATATTTAACAAAAAATATTTAAATTTTGTTTGAAGCTAAAATACCCTGATTGTTTTTCATATATATTTTGCTATTTTGTTTTTGTGATATTTAAGTGACTTGTTTTAAAACGTTTAGGCACTTACCCCTCTTTGGTTTTTTTTTTATATTTTGAGCTCTATATATATTCATATATTTTTATTCACTTTATTCACTTTTAAAAAGAATTTTTCTCGTTTATATTTTATTTTTTTTCGCTGGCAGCTTTGCTTATTTCAATTCAATTTGTCTGTAAAATTAGAAATTAAAACAATTTCTTTTTTAATTGCTAAAATTTTTGTTAGAAATTAAAAGCAATTTTTATTTGAAATTGTTATTAATATTAAAAGTGACAGTGTATTAAATTGTTAAATAAAGCGTAAGTGTATTTTTTTTTGAAAATTTTTAGAGTGTACACTGGTATTTTAGGGGAATTTTGAGTTTCTTTTTGATGGATTGAAAAGTAAAGAGTATAGACTAGACTATAGACTAGACTATAGACTATGGTATAGTCTATGGTCTAGTCTATAGTCTAGTCTATAGTCTAGTCTATAGTCTAGTCTATAGTCTAGTCTATAGTCTAGTCTATAGCCTAGTCTATAGTCTAGTCTATAGTCTAGTCTATAGTCTAGTCTATAGTCTAGTCTATAGTCTAGTCTATAGTCTAGTCTATAGTCTAGTCTATAGTCTAGTCTATAGTCTAGTCTATAGTCTAGTCTATAGTCTAGTCTATAGTCTAGTCTATAGTCTAGTCTATAGTCTAGTCTATAGTCTAGTCTATAGTCTAGTCTATAGTCTAGTCTATAGTCTAGTCTATAGTCTAGTCTATAGTCTAGTCTATAGTCTAGTCTATAGTCTAGTCTATAGTCTAGTCTATAGTCTAGTCTATAGTCTAGTCTATAGTCTAGTCTATAGTCTAGTCTATAGTCTAGTCTATAGTCTAGTCTATAGTCTAGTCTATAGTCTAGTCTATAGTCTAGTCTATAGTCTAGTCTATAGTCTAGTCTATAGTCTAGTCTATAGTCTAGTCTATAGTCTAGTCTATAGTCTAGTCTATAGTCTAGTCTATAGTCTAGTCTATAGTCTAGTCTATAGTCTAGTCTACAGTCTAGTCTATAGTCTAGTCTACAGTCTAGTCTATAGTCTAGTCTATAGTCTAGTCTATAGTCTAGTCTATAGTCTAGTCTATAGTCTAGTCTATAGTCTAGTCTATAGTCTAGTCTATAGTCTAGTCTATAGTCTAGTCTATAGTCTAGTCTATAGTCTAGTCTATAGTCTAGTCTATAGTCTAGTCCATAGCCTAGTCTATAGTCTAGTCTATAGTCTAGTCTATAGTCTAGTCTATAGTCTAGTCTATAGTCTAGTCTATAGTCTAGTCCATAGCCTAGTCTATAGTCTAGTCTATAGTCTAGTCTATAGTCTAGTCTATAGTCTAGTCCATAGTCTAGTCTATAGTCTAGTCTATAGTCTAGTCTATAGTCTAGTCTATAGTCTAGTCTATAGTCTAGTCTATAGTCTAGTCTAGAATCTAGTCTAGAGTCTAGTCTATAGTCTAGTCCATAGTGTAGTCTAGTCTATAGTCTAGTCTATAGTTTAGTCTATAGTCTAGTCTATAGTCTAGTCTATAGTCTAGTCTATAGTCTTGTCTATAGTCTTGTCTATAGTCTAGTCTAAAGTCTAGTCTATAGTCAAGTCTATAGTCTAGTCTATAGTCTAGTCTATAGTCTAGTCTATAGTCTAGTCTATAGTCTAGTCTATAGTCTAGTCTATAGTCTATAGTCTAGTCTATAGTCTAGTCTATAGTCTAGTCTATAGTCTAGTCTATAGTCTACTCTAGTCTAGTCTATAGTCTTGTCTATAGTCTACTCTATAGTCTAGTCTATAGTCTTGTCTATAGTCTAGTCTAAAGTCTAGTCTATAGTCTAGTCTATAGTCTTGTCTATAGTCTAGTCTATAGTTTAGTCTATAGTCTAGTCTATAATCTAGTCTATAGTCTAGTCTATAATCTAGTCTATTGTCTAGTCTATAGTCTAGTCTACAGTCTAGTCTTTAGTCAAGTCTACAGTCTAGTCTATAGTGTAGTCTGTAGTCTAACATATAGTCTAGTCTATGTTTGATGGTATATAATTAGAACAATATAATCAACTTCAACTTTTAAACCTTTTCTGACATAGAAAACTAGAAGCAAATCTTTGTGGCTTTTTCTTACCGATTGGTATCACTGATACCGTTCAGTAAAAACCAGAGTTGGCAAAGTTGGTACAATAGTTTTTTTTTTTTTTTTGTATTATTCGATTCTTAAAAGTACAGTGGCCCCATGTGTGACTCCTTTCGGCAATTGTTTGCATTCGAAAAAGGAAACAAATATGGTCGGTTCATAGTTCATTCTAATGGAAATATAATGTATAAATTAAATTTCTCAAAATTTTTCTTTCGAGTAATCTTTCTGTTTCTACAATCTTGTAGGGGAATTAGGTCCGATCACAAATGCTTTTATTTTAGTAAATAGACAGTTATTTGTGATATTTGAAAATGTAATTTACCATCCCTGGTATAAACGTCAATTAAGTAGAAAAAGTCAACGTTTCTTATGCTTTTTTTTTTATAAAGTATAACAGTTTTACTTTAAATTGCTGGAATTTTTACATTTTTTTGCTTATAGGTCAAAGGTTAGGTAAAAGAATAAGTATTTAATCAATTATAATATTTATAACCTATATAGTTGTCTATCCTTTCAATTTCGAATTATACCAATAAATTTTAAACCGTGTACACTCTATTTCAATCCGGATTTTTTTTTCGTTTTCTTTTAATATGTTTTTTTTTTTTTTTAATTAAATGTTTTAAACAAAAAATTATATAAGGATTTTTTCTAAAACTTTATTCGTTTTAAAAACATTTTATTATTTTATTACTATTTTTTTTTTAATATAAAAATGTTTAATGATAAATAGTAAATATTTATATATTGTTTTCAGTCTTTTGTTTTTAAATATTTTTTTTTAATTTTTATTTTTTTTTAATATTTATTTTAATAACACAGTTTGACTTAATAATAAATTTGTTATAGTTTCTTAAATTTTTGTAAATACAAAAATATGTTACTATTTTGTTATAATTTTAAAGTAATATAAATAATTTTTTATAAAAAAATTTTTCAGCTAAAAGTAAACGAAAGAAAGTAGATAAAAATATATATAAAAAAATACAATGTATTCTTTTTAGAATTTTTTTTTTCTAATAAAAAAAATACTTTAGCTTTTAGTTTTAAATTTATGGTATATTTTTAATATAAAAAAATAGATATTCTATAAAAAAAAATTCTTTAGTAAATAAAATAAATATTTACTTTGTTTAAATGTAAAAATGATTGATTGTTTTATTTTTATTTTTATATTTTTTTAAAAGCAACATGTAGCATGAGTATGAATTTATAATAGAGAGAAGAAATAATGATGCTTTAAAATGTTTAAATTAATTGTTTTGAAAACAAAAAAAAAAAAAACTAAACACTCACATACAATAAAAAAAATTAAATTTTTATTTACAAATGACGTTTTTTTAAATTTTTGCAAAAGGAAAAATAAATGCATCAACATTTCAAATGAGGTTAGTTAGACTAACACAGTTGTAATAAATAGTAGCAAAAATTTATTTATTTGTTTTTGGTTATAAATCACTTTATTGTTTTGTTTTTTCTATTTATTATTATTTTTTTGCAATTTTATTTATTATTTCTTTCTTTTATTATTAAACAAAGTGTTTTTTGTAGTTTGTTATAAAAAATGTTTTATGAAACATAGAAAAGTATATTGTTATATAAAAGTCAAATGTCTACTGAGCTTACCTTTATATTTGGGAACAAACTTCTGTATATCCTGCGGAATGTTTTGATAAAAATCCAATTCACGCAAATTAAGCGGTTTTATAACAGTCGATTGATTAAGCAACAATAGGCGGGTATGGCCTCCAACCTATAAAAATAGATTAGAAAGAAAACAAAGCATGTTTACAAAAAAAAACCCAAATGAAAGTTTATGATTAATTACTAATAAATACAATACATAATAAACATATAAATATTTGTATGTATATTGTGTTTAGCATTTGATTAAATATTTATATTAATGGGGTGTTTAGAATAAAAATGATGAAATCGTTTTGCTATTTTAGTTAAGAAAGATAAAAAGGAATTACATATATTTCTGAATGGGGGTGTTTAACTTTTGACAGTTAGCTGTCATGATCTAGGTTTATATTTTGACAGAGTGTTGACGCAGGGAAATGTTTATCTTTTATACACTTTACCAGGTTGGGAATTTGTGTATTCGAATTTTATAAAATAGGCTATTGACTAGGCAAGAAGCTAGTTTATTGACGTTTTATGGACAAATGTATAGACTATACTATGTGCTATGGACAAGATAGATAGACAG